GAGTGTACTTTCCCTCCCGCCCGTGTTAGGATGTGGAGAGAAGGTCACCGCTTGTGAAGAAAGGCCACCCCAGGAAGAGCTGGCTGCTAACTTGATTCTGGGCTTCCCGTCTTCATGGAGGGCACTAAATAAATAAATAAATAAATACCTGTTGTTTTAAGTTGCCCAGTTTATGGTATTTTGTTCTCGTGGCCAAGCTAAGACTCAGCACATGTCTATAGTTAGCTCTGCGATCCCTCAGGTTAAGGGCAATGTCACCATCTCCCAGACATGTTCCAATTATAGCGTTCATATACAACACAGGCCCCCATTGCAATACTGACAGACTATCCTAGGCTACATGAGGAGTATGAAGCCAGGCTGGGACACATGAGAACCCGTCTCCGCAAAAAAAACAAATAAACGGATAACAATAACAATAAAACCCCCAAACTCACCATCATCAATGGAAATATCATAAGGGCTGGGATAGTTCAGCTGGAGTACTTCCCAAACATCCAGGAAGCACCAGGTCTAAATTCACTGGGCATGGTGGTGCATATCTGCAATCCCAGCACTCAGGAGGTGGAGGCAGGAGGATGAGCAAATTAAAAAAGAAAGGAAGAAAGAAAAGAAATGGTGGTCTGGGTGAGACGGCTCAGTGGGTATAAAGCGCGTGCCAGGCCGGCCGGATGACCCTAGTTAGATCCCCAGAACCACAGCGGTAGAAGAGAATCAGTCCGGTGGTGGTGCACGTCTTTAATCCCAGCACATGGGAGGCAGAGGCAGGCGGATCCCTGTGAATTCGAGGTCAGACTGGTCTATAAGAGCTAGTTCCAGGACAGGCTCCAAAGCTACAAAGAAACCCTGTCTCAAAAAACCACAGAGAGAGAGAGAGAGAGAGAGACAGAGAGAGAGAGAGAGACAGAGAGAGAGAGAGACAGAGAGAGAGAGAGAGAGACAGAGAGAGAGAGACAGAGAGGGAGAGAGAGAGAGAGAGAGAGAGAGAGAGAGAGAGAATCAATTCCTGAAAATTGCTCTTTGACCTCCACATGTATGCCAAGGCATTTGCACCTCCCACACCCAAATCATACCCACACCTTAATAACAGATAAAATATTTTTTTCTTTTTTATTGTTTTTCACCTTTCTTTTTTGAGATAGGGTTTCTGTATATTCTTGGTTGTCCTGGAACTCCGCCTGTAGACTCTGAGATCTGCCTGCCTCTATTTCTGGCGAGTGTTGGGAACAAAGGCATGTGTCACCACTTCCCAGCTCAGATAAAATAATATTTTTTAAAAAAGGAATAGTGACAGTTATGTATTCATCTGACACATTAAATATTACCTGACTGTCCATCTGTGCCATCCTAAGCCAAGAACTGCCTTCCAGCAGTTTCTGTGAGCACTTGACTGGAGTTAAATGCAAGCTAGGTTCCCAGGTTCTACACTTCCCGTTCCTTTCTCTCCCTAAGTCCATAGGGAATTTCAGCGACCCCCCCCCATTTCCTTTTCTTTTGAGACAGGGTCTTACTATGTGGACCAAAAGTCTCACACTCATAGAGACCCATCTACCTGTGACTCCGACTTTTGGGATTAAAGGCCTGTCCCACCATACTGGGCTGCAGGTGTCTCAGTGCCTGTAACCTAATTAACATGTAATCATACTGCCCAGACGACGCCCCATACATGTAGGACATAACAATACTGTAAGTTCTTTATATATGCCATTTCTGAAAGTTCAAATCTAACTGCAGCCTGTATGTTTTTACCTTCTAAGGCTGAAGACCTTGCCTTACCTCCTAGCACCCCATGAATAAATCAACTTCTGCCTAAGCCAACTGCACGCTACTCACTCTCATCACCTGCACTGGGGACTGGGTAGAATGTCTGTGAAACCCAAAGCTCCAGTCTGGAGGTCAAGGGCCTTCATTTCATGCTGCCCTGGTTTGTCAGCCTGGTACCCCCAAATCCTCGTTCCTGCTTCCCTCTAGTCTGATCCCCAGCTGGCAGTTCAGCTTGCTGAGTGTGCAGTCCCGTGGGACAGGGCTGAGGCCAGCTGAGTCCTCGGTGACCTCAAAAGGATGCCCAAGACTTGCTGACAATGCTAAGGTTTTGACGAGGATGTCCACATACTTGTCACCAGATTACGACCCCAAAGGGCAGAAATGCTCGGTGGTGTCATCAAGCATGATATTTTGCACACATGGCTGCCCAGTGAATGACTGCTGACCTCAGACAGAGAGACAGCAACCCAAAGAATTGAGGAAGAAAGAATTTTGCAAAAGACAGGGGGGCAGAATAATGGAAGAGCAAGTAAAATATTGAGTCAGATAGAAAGTCACGTGCGGTAGCACTGGACAACCCAAACGGGCCTCCTCTTTGAATACTGCACCCCCAGTTTTCTTGAAGAGGAAAGTCCCATTAGAGCTGCAGGAGTGCTGGGGGGCAGGGGACAGAGGTTTGGCAGAAGTTGAAGCCACTGAGAACCCCTCAAGAGGAATCGAGGCTTCCCCCATGGGAAGACTTCAAGGCCACACAGGACAGCACTGTCAAGGGTCTGCAGCCGTTTCCAGGACTGCAGGGGAGTTTCTAGATTGGAGTGACAGAGGTGGAATGACCCACCCTGAATGTGGGTGTCACGACTCCATGGGCTGGGGTCCTGCACTGGATAAAAACGAGGAAGAAAGCTGACCACCAGCGTTCATGGCTTTCTGCTCTCTAACCACGGATGCAATTCGACCAAGCTGCCTCGCATTCCTGCCGCCATGCCTTTCCCTGCGCGATGGGCTGTATTCCCTTTCACTGCGAGCCCAAGTAAACCTTTCCCTCCTGAGTCCCCTTCCTTGGTCACAGCAATGAGAAAAGTAACTAAAGCATACACATTCTTTAAATGACACGGGACTACGACACAACATTCCAACATTCCGACTTCCTCTGTTACAATTATCTATCGTGAGCAGCCCTGGTGGCGCACACCTTTAATCCCAGCGCTCTGGGAGGAAAGTAGAGGCAGGCAGATCTCTGTTCAAGGTCAGTCAGAGCTACATAGTAAGACCTTGTCTTTAAAAAAAGAAATCTATTATGTTTACATGTCATATGTACACATGGGGTCAAATCAAGGTGATTTAACTCTAAGATTTCAGACAAGGAGCTGTCTTTGTTCAGGTTGAAATCATCAGCTCTCTTTGTTCACATCACTATTGATTTCACCTCAAACGAAAGGGACAATGTTTCAGAGTGGGATGAAGAAAAACATTAGACACCCACTACCTAGATAGGCGCTCCATGACCACAGTGGAGCCCAGCCTGCCTGGCCTGGCTCGGATCTCTGTTCCTGTGCAGAGTCCATTAGAAGGACAGCAGCTTCTGCTACAGTGCTGCACGGAGCAGTGAACATGCGCTGAGTACTGACCATGCATCACACGCTAGGCTAAGATTTCACGAAGTTGTCCAGCACAATCATCACTATACCTTCGGGAAACAATGTTAGAGCTACCCTGCTTTTTTTGTTTTGTTTTTTTGTTTTTGTTTTTCGAGACGGTATCTCTGTGGGATAGTCCTGGCTGTCCTGGAACTCACGCTGTAGACCAGGCTGGCCTCGAACTCAGGGATCTGTCTGCTTCTGCCTCCCAAGTGCTGGGATTAAAGGTGTGCGTCAACACTGCCCGATGCTCCCCCACTTATAAACAAGGAAAGGTAGGCTTACAGAGAGGGCAAGTGGAGGCACTAGAAGCAGGATTCAAACAACTCCAAAGTCCAGCTCTTTTATGTGAGTGCATGTGTGGTTGCATGTATGTGTTTGGATGCACATGTTCATGTGTGTGCATCTAGAGGTCAGAGATTGATGTTAGGTGTCTTCCTTGATTGCTCTCTGCCTTCTATTTTGAGACAAGGTCTCTTGCTGAATCTAAGCTCACCGATTCAATGAGGCTGGACAGTCAATGAGTGTCAGGAATTGGCCTGGCTTCTCACCGCCCCTCCCCTCGCCCAAATCCTGGGGTTAAAGATGTACACTGTCATACCCAGCTTCTAAGTGGGGGCTGGGATCTAAATCAAGTCCTCACACTTTTGGAGCCAGCACTTTACTAAATAAGCCATTTCCTAAGGCCCCTAAGTCCACTTGCTGACATACAGAGCAAAAGGGCTGGGAGATGGTTCAGCAATTGAGCGCTCTTGCAGGACGCAAATTAGCTCCCTAGCATCCATAATGAGTGGCTCACAATGCCTGGGACTCTAACTCCAGTGGGTTCTGGCATTGTTTTGATTAATGATTGATGTGGGAAAGCCCAGGCCACTGTGAGCAGCGCCAACCCTAGGCAGGCAGTACTGTGTTGTATCAGAAAATAGACCGAGAGAGTCAGGAGGAGCAAGCCAGCAAGCAGCCTTCTTCCAAGGCCTCTGCATCAGTTTCTACTTCTAGGGTCCTGACTCACTGTCCTTCATAACGGGCCGTGATCCAGACGTGTACCCAAATAAACCCTTTCTGGCCCCAAGGTGCATGTGGTCAGAGTTTTATCACAGCAACAGGAAGCCAAGTAAGGCAGTTAGTCTGTCTGTCTCTAGGACAGGAAGGAATTCAATTAGCTCATCAAGCCAAGGAGACAGAGCACTCTGGCACTAGTGTGACCATTTGTATATGCATCTCCCCCACATAAAAGCCCCTCCCTCCACCAAAACCATAATGTCTTTAATACCACATTGCGAGATACCCTTATTATACAGTGAACTGCCACCAATAAAGCAGCCGGGCTATGTAAGAATCGCAGGCCAAAGTTAATTTTGTAAAGTAACTATTAAGGCACTCTAATTACATTAATATTCTTGAAAAAAATTAAGAACACTTAACTTATTGCTTTATATATATGTATGTAAATTATATAATAGCATGCATTTAAATATTTCCAATTCTGAATTATTCCTCTTTTTAAAAAATGACTACATTAGTAAGACAAATGTGAAGAAGATTCTAATTAATCCACAGATCACAGGCAGAATATTTAGGAAAATTAAATGAACTTACTGTGTATTCTGATCCCAGTCGTTCAGATGGCAAAGGGAAAAGAAAGAGAGAAAAAAACCGAATGAGACCAGTTTCACAACACGCAAACCACAAGACTAACGGTTACAGACAAGTTATAATTATTAAAACGAGCTAAAGAAACCTTTCAAAAATTAGGTTTCTGTAAATATTGAAAGTCTGTGTTTCACGGTACTCCTGCGGTTGGCCAGATCAGGTCAGTTAGACAAGATTCAATTAGCCCATAGACTTGTGGCTAATTAAAAACCCAAGTGCTGCCATTGTCAAAGCAAAATGAGAGACTAATAATTACAGTAGAACATTTCACTAACCACAAAGGACATCTTTTCAGCTGAAAGCAGGGTTTTTTTTTCCTTTCTTTTTCTTCTTCTTCAAAAACAATTACAAAGAGCTTGCAAAGAGACCGTGCACGGACGAGGGCTGGGAAACAGCCATCAGAATCTGGGGCAGGGGGTATTGGGTCTGATACGTATTCAGAACAGAGATCGTGAGGAAGAAGAAATATTAAAGATTTTCACATTCTCTGAGAGGAGAGAGAGAGAAAAAAATTCAAAGCAAAATAGAAACAAGCCAAAGCGAACGGCTTGCTTGTGGACAAACTTTAGGGAGAAATATGGATTAGAAAACCTCTAGATGGCCCCATGGGAACAGTCTGCCCTCACTCAGTGAAATCCCACCTCTGCCCCAGCTCCGTACTTGCTGCACGTGGCTGGCCTGCGCCGAGGACTTACCTGTGATTGTATAGGGGTAATAATTCCAAGCCTTCTCGGTCACATAAAATATTTTGGGAACAACAGCTCTAGCCCAGCTAGGCAGTTTGCTGAAAAAGAAGGGAGGGGAAAAAAGAAGACAGTTAGAATGTCAGGGCCTTCCTCCGACTAGATACAATGGCATAGCATTAGTGAAGCTGTCAGGCCCGCCCTCTCTCTGCTCTCATTCCTTCCCCACCTCTGTGCTATCTTCTGGTGTAGCAAGCTTCCTGGACATATTTGTGTTCTTTTTTTAAAAAAAGATTAATTTATCATGTATATGCACAGTGTTTTGTCTGTGTGTATGCCTGAAAGCCAAAAGAGGGCACCAGATCTCATTATAGTTGGTTGTGAACCACCATGTGGTTGCTGGGAATTGAACTCAGGAACTCTGGAAGAGCAGCCAGTGCTCTTAACCCCTGAGCCATCTCTCCAGGCCCCTAGACATATTTGTGTTCTTTCAAAATATAGGCAGAAGGCAACATGCACCTGGGCTCAGAGGAAGAAGGTTTCTAGGATGTATGCCTATACTCTCAATTTATAAGCATGAGCGTTCTGCATGCATGTATCTTTGTGCACCATGTGTGCAGTGCCTGAGAAGCCCAGAAGAGGGCATCAGTTCACCTGAAACTGGAGTAACTGACAGCTCGGATGTCTTGCGGCACTGGGAATTGAACCTGGGTCCATTGGAAGAGCAGTCAGTGCTCTGAACCACTGAACCATCCCTTCAGTCCCTGAAGAAAGAGCTTTTACAGAAGCCAAAGGTAATGCCACCTTGACCTAGGGCGAGCCCTAACTCTAGTGACTGGAGAGGGACCAGGACTCAAGCCATACAGAGAACATGTGACTATGGCAGCAGCCGTGAGAATGATGAAACGGTATGCCAACAGTGCCAAGGATTGAGAGAGGCACACACCTCATTTCCCGGTAGACTGCCCAAAGGAACCAACACCCCCAACACCTTGATTTGGGATTTTGGACCCCATATTTGTGAGATACTAAAATGGTTTTGCTTTAGACCACCTCCTAGTTTATGACAATGTACAGTGTGAACCCTAAGAAAGTAAGTCCAGTGACTGAGCTATTCTTCTGGAGCAAGGTCGAGATCAAGCATTTGCAGAAAATAAATTCTCAAAAAGCAAAGGTCTGATGGTCATTTGCAACCAAACGCTGATTAGGCTTGTTTATTCCTTAAGAGGCAAACCTACAGCATAGTATAGGGACATAGCTTTCCTTATATACCCTTGTAATATATAAAGACTACATAACGTTCTATTTCTTAAAATAAGTTTTTACATGACCTTCTTCAAATCTCTCTCTCTCTCTCTCTCTCTCTCTCTCTCTCTCTCTCTCTCTGTGTGTGTGTGTGTGTGTGTGTGTGTGTGTGTGTGTGTGTCTGCCTACAGAGGCCAGAAGAGGGCACTGGATCCCATGGGGCTAGAGTTCCTGGTGGTTATGAGCAGCCTGCTATGGATGCTGGGAACCAAACTCTGGTCCTCTGGAAGAGCTCAAGCACTCTTAACTGAAGGGCTCTCTCTCCAGCCCCTATCATGATTTTAGCTCTCTCCAGCACTAACCAGGATAGAGGATAGTTTAGTCTAGAATGCTAAAGTCTAGCCTTTAGTTTTTGATCGGACCCAAGGAGATGAAGAATATTAGCAAAGGGAATCAAGAAGCAGTTTGAGAGGCTGGGAGAGAGGTCAGCAAGTAACATGCTAGATATAAAAGCATGGGGACCTGAGTGTGACACCCAGCACTAATGTGAAAACACCAAGAATGTGTGCTTGAAATCCCAGCTCTGGTGAGACAGAGAGAGCCTTGGTGCTGGCTGGCCTGCCACTCTAGCCTGGCTGACGAGCCAGGAATGACATTTGAGGTTGGCTCCTACATGCATGAGCACACACACACACACACACACAAAACTGGTATGACTAAGAAATGAAAAAAAGATCAAGCTAACAATGCCCTACGTTTAATCCTTGTTGTCAACCTAACTGTATTCAGAGTCATATGTGTGTGTGTGCTTGTGTAGTGTGTGTGTGTGTGTGTGTGTTTCTAGAGAAGCTTAATTGAGGATGGGGGATCAACCTTAATGTGCGTGGCAGCATCCCACAGCCTGGGTCCTGGACTGAAAGGAGAACACCAAGCACAACAGCAGCGTTCATCTCTCTGCTACCCGACAGTGGACATCATGAGACCACACGCTGCCCACTCCTGCTGCCCTGCCTTCTCCCTGTGACGTATTATACCTGCAAGACCGCGAGCCAGATCAACTCCTTTCTTCCTTAAACCACTTGTCCACTGTTTTATTCTATGCCAAGAAGAAAAGTGACTAACGCAAGCCCTCAATCTGAACCCCTTTCTCTGACGTGGAACAGAAAATGTCAACCAGAGCATCTGAACTACTGCATACCTAGAATGTCTTTGCAAGGTGTTTTATGTTTGAGAATATCCAGGCCTGCCACTATTGAAAAAGACAAATGCATATTTCCAAGAGCTTGCTGGACCTTACTCAAAGTTTTGGGCTATGCATCAGGGTCTAAACACATGAAGGTTTAAAAAAAAAAAACAAAAACAAACAACCAAAACCCTAAGCTCCCCCAAAGCTGGGTGAGCGACGACAGCCCGGCAAGCTGTACGGAGGGAGCAGGAGACGCCTTGAGCGTCACTTGTCATTCCGGGGCGGCATTTCACCCTCCTAAAAGCTGTCCCTGCAGAAGCTGCTCATTTACCTTGCATTCACATTTCTCAAAGGACGGCTGCTCCCTGACAGGGGCTTTTTTTTTTTTTAATAGTTTTTGCTGATGACTGAGTCCAACAGATGCTGACGGCAGAGTGCTACTGAGGTTGATGTGGTGTAGGGAAATCCCACTGGCTTGCTTGCTGTCAATCACAAGAGCCAGATTTCCTCTGGCTCCTGCCTGTGCCCAGGGCGTAGTGCCAATGGACAGTAGAGGGACATGCAGAGTCTAGTTCCAGGCAAGCAGATTTTGGTGTCCTGATTTTTTTTTTTTAAAGAAAGATTCTCATATATTCCAGGCTGGTCTTGAACTCACTATCTAGTCCAAGATGACCTTGAAGTTCTGATTTTTCTTACCTCTACCTGGAGTGGTAGGGTTTATGTGTGGCTAGGGATCGAACCCAGGGCTTTGTGCATGTTAGACAGGCATCCGACCAACTGAGCTCCTTCCCCAGTGCCCTCCTCATGCTTATAATAAATAGGTTTGGAGCAAAGAACTCTTCAGCTTGGGCAAAGTATGTATGTGTCTCCCTACAGTCCCACAGCCCCCTCTCCACTGTAAGGAATGCATCCATGTTCCTTCATGTCTCACCTTATTTCTGGGTGCTCCTCCCATGTAGCACCCTGGGGCAGCCCACATAACTCATCCCTTGTAGCATATTAGAACCCTCTTAGCAGAACTTCCATCCTAAGTAGCCATCATCTTCGGGTAGGAAGAGAAAACCATCGACAAGTTTCCATCCTCATTGAAACTGCCTAATTCCAGGACTCCAGAGTTTAGAATTTTATTTTATTATTATTATTGTTTTTGATAGGGTTTCTCTGGTAACAGCCCTGGCTGTCCTGGTACTCACTTGTAGAACAGGCTGGCCTTGAACTCACAGAGACTCACCTGTCTCTTGTCTCTCAAGTGCTGGGATTAAAGGCATGCACACACACACTCTCCCCCATCTTAGAACTTTAATTTTAGATGTTCACCCAAAAATTCATACAAGTCAGGGAGCAACATAACAATGACTTTATTTGTCTGTTTATGGTGCTGCACTAAAAACAAACAATCATTTAGCCAAGGCCGGGGTTACAACTTCATGTCACTATCCTTTAGTTTAGGAAGAAGCGAGATCCTGGTGTAAGTCTTCCACCAGGTTAAAGCCGGGGAGGGGGCATCCACTACAAGCTCTGAGATGGTTTGCCACAGTCTGGAGGTGGTTAGTTTAACTGACGGAATCTAGACTTAACCTGGAAACCAGTGTCTGGGCATACCTTGGTCACATTAGTCGAGGTGGGAAGACATGCCCACCGTGGGCGGCACCATCCCTTATGTGGCATTAGCTTGCATTCATCGGTTTTTGCTCCCCATTTGTGGATAGGATGTGGCCAGATGCATTGAGTCCCCACTCCTTGACTCACCCATCACGATGAACTGTATTTTGGACTGTGAGCCAGAGTAAACTCTCAAATTGCTTCTGTCAGGGTATTTTACCACAGGGACATGGGGGGGGGGGAATTAGACAGACAGCAAGTGTCCTCCAAAGGCCTAAAGGCGTGGTCCTGCTTGTGGTGCTATTGGAAAACGGTGGGATCTTTTGGTAAAGGGGTTTGGGGAGAGGAAATTAGGTCATTAGGGGCAAGCCATTTGGGGAGGATGAATGTGGAACCCCAGCCCTCTCTTCCTCTTTTCTTCCCTGGACACGAAGTGAGTTTCTTCTGACATATGAAGTCCCTACCTTGTTGACATCTGGCGCCTCCTCGGAAGCTTGGCCCACCCCGCCATGTTCCTGAACCTCTAACACTGTGGGCCACCATGATCCTTTTCTAAGTTCATTACTTCGGGTATTTGATTATGGTGATGAAGAGCCGATTATCACGACACTATTTAAGTCCTGTTAAGCCCACTAACAGACCAGACCCTCTGTCAGCCCCTAGCTTGCCCAGAACACATCATGATTTGAATCATTTTAGACTGAGAAACTGAAATTTATTTGTCCCTGCAGCAATGATTTAGCAGGATCTGAAAAGGGAAATGGAATTAAATCAGTCCCTGACACTGTCACTGAAATGATGGACATTGTCACACAGCCCACAATTCTAAGAGAAAGCCTGTCACTCAAAGTTACTCCCAGATCTGAAATAAGGAGCTCATTTCTAGAAAGGCAGAGTGTCTGAATCAAGTCCTTGGTCCACACATGAGCCAGCACAGAACCTCCTAAGGGCCTATCTGAACAGCCTCAGGTGAAGAGTGCTTACTGTCCGTCCATGAGAAACTTCTGGCAATTTCCAATGCAGATTATCTAAAAGCCACCCTGCCATACAATTTCCCATTAAAGTGAA